TGTTTGGACCTACCTCCTAAGACTGAAAGATTGATAGAAGTCACTGCATTTTGGGTTGCATTCTCCTCTTATTTTCCTATATTCTGAACTCAGGGAAAGAAATGGATAGCTATGTCTAGATCCCACCCACAGGTTTTTAACCTTTTTTAAGGAGCTCATTTGAATAACGTGGACAGCAAAAAGAATCCAAGAAGGTGTAGACTATAACATGTGCCTTCCGGCATAATTAGAAACAACATGATCTTAAGAGTTTCAGAGCTTGATTTTGGTTTGCTTTTCTGCTTGTGAATATACAAAGTAATTAAAAACAATGAAACTTTACAAAAAATAATTAGAAGCAATAGTCGTAAAACAAACAGTTCAAAACAATGCCAGATGAAAACCAAATCCAAAGCAGCAGGTTAAAAACAGCAGGCTGAGCATTTAGACATTTACATTTCCAGCTCAAAAGTGGAAAGCAAAATGCTGGCTATATAATATGTTCCTTTGTAGAGGAAAAAAAATATGGATGGTGTGCTTGTTCTGCTGTTGATTTTATAATGCATGGAAACAAGCTGTTCTGGTACTTTTAATAGAAAACCAGGACATTATTGTTATTATAACGTGCTGGGTCTTTATTCTTATACTTTCATTCCCTAGACTGTAGTACTTCTCTTTTTAATTTTGAATATTAAACAAAACTTGTGATACTGGTTTGTGACACCATAAACATGCTACAGTAATCCATACTCATATATTTATGATGTTATCAATATTTATTAAAAACATTAGTAGCACAGGAAAAGAAAAGTCTGCATATTTTATTATTTCATACTAGCTTTACCCAGAAAACATTTTATTAAAAAAATCTAAATTGGAAATGTTTAGCTTTGAGAAGGAGAGAACAGAGATGATAGCAATCTTGAAATACCTGAGGGTGTCACATTGAAAGTAGTCAAAATCTTACTCTTATCTTTTTTGAATACGGGACATAAAATAATACAATTGAGTTATAGGAAGATTAGCAGCTCATTGGCTCCCATGATGAGGATGCTAGGTTGACAATTTGCAAATCCGAGTTCGAAGCCCGAGTGCTGGTGTGTGACACGGTGAGCTCCTAGCATTCACTCCAGGTCCTGCCAACCTAGCAGTTTGAAAGCATGCAAATGCAAGTAGATAAATAGGTACCACTTCCGTGGGCTCATTAACGGGGACATGAAAGGAGTCCTCAACTGGGTATCCCCCTGGGACGGTAATGTCACAGGTTAATCACTTCACCACAGAACTCTTTGGTGTTTCTGACATAGAAGTATATAGTATAGGAAGGTTTTGGATTTTTGGGTGGTTTTTATCATTTTTGATATTTTATTATTGTTTTGTAAGCCATCCAGGGTTATGCTATATAAGATGTGTGATCAAATAAATCTACTAAATAAAAAAATTGTCAGGATTCCGGCAGTTACCCCAATTAAATCATGAGTCTCGAGCCAAACTTCCAAAACTTCAAAGGATTTATTGGGAGTTAACATGTCTGCCTGGGATGAACCTGACTCTGAGACACATAATTCATTGTCACTCTTGACCCGAGTTTTCCTCCACCCCCTGCATGTATCATAATTCATGTGTCTCCAATGAGACACATCCATAGCCAAGAGTCATCAATCATGTTCTCCAGTTAGATATTTGCACAGCAGAAATTTCAGTCACCTAGATACTATCTTTGAAAAGCTATTTATGGAATGCACTTTTGATTTCCAAGCTGCAACACTGCTCTTTCAAACCCCTTTCCCTGCTCCCTTCCTGTTGGCAACTCTAAAAAGACCATAGAAATATTTTATGAGTTGACAACACTCTTATTTGCATCTTACAAGGAGCACTCCAGGAGCACAGTTAGTTTCGCAGAGTAATAAGTTATCCCAAGGTGATGGACTCTCCTTCATTTTTCAAACGGGGGTAAGGCTCTCAGGGGTATTTCAGTTTGGATTCTTGAATTGAGCAAGAATACGACTCAGTGGCCTAAATACCCCTTTCCTATTCTAGAATGTTATGATCCTGCGTTGTTGGTTACACCTGCAGTCCACCTTTGTTGAATGGTTCTTCTGATAGCTGAGCTTTGCAGTAGTGTGTATTCTAAAAGTATTAACTGTAATAATAGATTTTGTGGAGCACACAGCAAAACACAAAGAACAAGGGAAAGGCACTGAAAGCAAACTACAACTTTCCAGGCAAAAGTCTTTTTATTAAGGGGTATCTTCTCTATGGAGTTTGGGGTAGTTTTATTAAGGCATCAGGGTTCAAAGTGAGAGGCTATGAATTCTAATACCACTTTAGCCACAAAGCCATCTGGGTGACGTTGAGCCAGTCACTTTCTCTCAGATTTAGAAAAGAGGCAATGGCAAATCACTTCTTAGAAACCTTGCTAAGAAAATTTCAAGACTTTGTCCAGGCAGTGTCAGAGAATCGAGTACAATTGAATGGAAGGAAAATATCTGTCTGTCTGTCTACAATCTGTCATCTACCTGTCTATCTTATCTGTGAGACTGGAATCATATTTACCAAATGTCCAAACGCATTTGTTTTCTTGAATAAGAAACAGAAACCTTTTGTCTTTACATATTAAATATGAAGAAGTATGCTTATAAAAACGAGCCGATTGTTTAAACCTGCTGCTCATAAATTTAATTAATTGAATGCCATTCCCTTCTTAGATGACAACAAACAGCTAGATGGTGTTCAAGGAGACCTCTTAAGTTCCTTTACAGCTGTTATTTGAGGGAAAACAGCAGTAAGTTAGACTTCAAGTGTTGGTGTTAATTATCTGCACTGTAAATCTTAATCAGCTTTATTAATAACAATCCTTAACTGTTGGTAACATTCACATATAAAATGCTGATATTTTTCTAGGAATGATACAAGAAAAGAAAAGGAAGTAATGGAAAAGCTACATGTTCCTGGCCAAACGAAGAGGCCAAGTTTGTCTTGTTTTCATTATAGCATTCTTCTTGGGGAGGACCGAGGCTGAGGTTCATTGTGACCCTTAGCTTTCTTTTCTCCTCAACTTAATCAGGACTGTGAATTACTCTTAATTAACAGCAAGTCTGGAATTTCCTGGCTTGCATCTTATAAAAACAAACAAATGATAGCAGTTGGCGTGTGTCTCTCCTTTTCAAATATGTATACATTTTAGAAAAGTTGTAGAATGATAATCCTTTTAATGGCCCCATAATCCCTTGCGGGGTGGAGTCTAGGCAACTGAATGGAACTGAGTGTTTTACTGGCTGGATGCCCTTCCTGTCGCCAATGCGGAGTTTTATTCAGCAGATATATTCTCATTGTGCCCAGAGAGAGAAATATCTGCCTCTGCCTAGGATCGAACTCACAGCCTCCTGACTGTGAGGTGAGAGTTCCACCTCTAGACCACCGCACCACTCAGTATTGTAGAATGATAATCTGATAATAAAATGACAATAAAAGGAGACCTTTTGATAAGCAAATACAGTGTTATATCAGCACCCCAGTGTCCATGGACTTTTTCATCCTATAATGTTAGAACAACCTCTATACTTTTAAGTAGTCTGGTAATTCAAGACATCAGCTTGGAGAGAAAGGAGTATCATGCTGCTTAAATACCTTCCAATTTTCCCATGTTTTTGATAATACCAATTTATTTAAATGTCAACTTTGCTGAGAAAATGATACTTGGAAAGCATTTAAGTCCGAGTTTAATTTCCTGCATCTTGTGTACTGGGTACTTTTTGGCAAATGAACATATTTTTGGGTGCTTTGCCTAAATGTCAAACTATTTGTGCATTGTTACAAATAAATACATAAAAGCATCTCCAAAAAAAAAAAACAATCTTAAGAGAAAAAAGAATTTTATATGCATTATAACTTTGGACATGGCTATATCAGATGCTACTCATGGCCTCTTGGAATGAAGTCTATTTTTTTTTACTCAGGGCTGTTCATTCATTACTATTGCAATATAATACATGCATATTTAAGTCAATTTCTCTTTGGTTTTGGCCAAAGAGGCAAAAGAACCACCTTCAGAAATAAATACAGTTGGGGGAAAAAAATTAAGAATAGTTTGCCTGGTTCCTGTCATGGCTGAAAAATAACCTCCTTACTTAGTTGAAACTCTGAGCTTTATTTAACTTTCTTTAAATTGCCGTATATCACTTTATTTGACAGCACATATTTTCTTTTAGCAGGCAAGGGCAGAAACTGCTAGATTAAATGATTTAAACAAAATAAAGAGTTGCTGAGAAAATTTCTTTTTCCTAGCTCCTGAGCCAAGCCAGACGTCAAATAGCTTAAGTTTGGCTTGGGTATGAAACAATGTGTGAAGCGTTCAAGAATCCCACCACTGTATCAATTTAATTGACAAGCTTTGCTTAAGGAAGATGTCTGTTGGCCTTATGTTTTTTTTCCCTCTGTTGGCATAGTTAATTTCTTGTCTCCCGTGGTTGTATACTTTTTGTATATTTATCAGCATTACATAGCAGGGGGATTTATAAGCCATCCAGAGCCAGTCTGGATTTGGGCAACACTAAAATCAAATCCGATCCGATATGAATGCATAAATATATAGTCCATATGTATAATATGCAAGTCATTTGAACAATTCAATTGACTCTTAGTAATGAAAAAATGTATGCAAAGAAAGAATGCGCCATTAAAGAAGACAACTGCTGCCTTGATAACTTTAAATAGCAACAGCACTTAGACTTATATACCTCTTTACAGTGCTTTACAGCCCTCTCTAAGCGGTTTTACGTAGTCAGTGTATTGCCCCTGACAATCTGGGTCCCCATTTTACTCACTTTGGAAGGATGGAAGGCTGAGTCAACCTTGAGCCTGGTAGGATTTGAACTGCCAAATTTCAGGCAGCTGGCAGTCAGCAGAAGTAGCCTGCAGTACTGCACTCTAACCACTGCGCCACCGTGGCTTATGTTTGCTTTAATAAATGTTTGCTTTAAGAGTCTAATTCTGCGCTATTAAATGTCTCTTTATTCCAGGTCATGGAAATCAAAGGACAAATGATCCACGTCCCAGAATCAAACTGTATTTTGTTTTTGGGCTCACCATGTGTGGACAAGCTGGACGAACTGATGGGTCGAGGCCTCCACCTTTCAGACATACCAATTCACGATGCTACCCGTGATGTCATCCTTGTCGGGGAGCAGGCTAAAGCCCAGGATGGCTTGAAGAAGAGGATGGACAAGCTTAAAGCAACCTTAGAACGAACACACCAAGCTCTAGAAGAGGAGAAGAAGAAAACTGTGGATCTTCTTATCTCAATCTTCCCAGAAGAGGTAGCTCAGCAGCTTTGGCAAGGGCAGCAAGTTCAAGCCAGAAAATTTGATGACGTTACCATGCTCTTTTCAGACATTGTTGGCTTCACTGCTGTCTGTGCCCAGTGTACACCCATGCAAGTGATCAGTATGCTCAATGAGCTGTACACCAGATTTGACCACCAGTGTGGATTCCTAGATATCTATAAGGTAACATCTTTCACCCTTCAAGTTTTTCAGAACTATGATATTGCTAACATATTTTTTTCTTAGAACACAGTGAATAGAACTAACAGTGTTCTATTTTCTTAATAAAAGCTTGATCTAAGTAAATGACAGTTACATGATTGTTGTTGCCCGAAATTTGCCTAAAGGAAAAAAGTGAGCAATGGGGTGATCCAGTCTAGAAATGTGAATAGTCTAAACCAGGGGTGTCAAATTCAGTTTCATTGAGGGCCACATCAGGGTCGTGTTTGACCTCAAAAGGCCAGGGTGGAAGGCGTGACCATGGTGGGTGTGGCCATGGTGGGTGTGGCAAGGGACTGAACCTCCACACACATGGTTTTATACACTTGTAAAAATAGAGAGGTGTACATTTCTGTGATTTTGTTTTTTTAATACTTACTTGATCTACTAGATCACTTTCTGTGAGAGAGACCAGATCAAGAAACTGACTCCATAAGAAGACTAGAACTATAAATCATTGACATAGGCTATTGTAGCAGAATCCTGCAAGCCTGACAAGTGAAATATTTTACTTTTCCTCCCTTTTATAATCTTCTGAGTCAAGGACAGCCTCCTGGAGCACTCTGGAGGCCCCGTTTGGGTCTTGGAAGGCCTCCTGCCTCACTGTGGTGGCCAAAACTGGTTGCGGGGGGGCATGTGTGGGCGGCGATGCCCCATTTTTGTTAGAGGAGGCACCTATTCTTTGCTATTTCCAGGCTGGCCCCAAGGGACAGATCTAAGCACATGGGCCTTGGGTTTGACACCCTTGTTTCTGATGGCACGAATCACATCTTTAAAACAATCCTATTTTTACTGTTGATATATAATCAACAAATTAGAACTGAGCTGAGTTGCAACCATACTTCTTGATGTACCATGTTCAAAATTGGCAGTCCTCTCACTCCCAGATTTAATTGGTACATTGTATTTTAATAATTTCAGATTTCTCCTATTTCATTCAATTGTCTTTTAGTTCCAAGGCTGAAGAGTCTAATTCTATTAAGGTAAATAACTGGTACAAATGTGCCCCCTCCTCCACTTTCAAAAATCAAATTTGAGACCATTGTATATAAAAAGCAAAATCACATTACAGGTAGTCCTTGACTTACAACCACAGCTGAGCCCAAAATACGTGTTGTTAAGCAAGACAGTTAATTGAATTTTGCCACATTTTATGACCTTTCTTGGCACAGTTTTTAAGTGAGTCACCACAGTTGTGAAGTTAATAACATGGTTGTTAAATTAATTTGTCTTCCCCATTGACTTTGCTTGTCAGAAGGTCACCCAAACTGAATAGATGACCACGGGATACTGCAACCGTCATAAATACCAGTCAGTTGCCAAGTTTCTAGATTTTGATGACGTGACCGTGGGGATGCTGCAATGGTCATAAATGTGAAAAACAATCACAAGTCACTTTTTCAGTGCTGTTGTAAGTTTGAACAGTCACTAACAAATGGTTGTAAGTGAGGAACTACCTTTAAGTAGTCTAGAGTCCATGTCAGGATTCCAGCAATCGCTCTAATTAAATCATGATTCTCGAGCCAAACTTCAAAAAAACTTCAAAGGATTTATTCGAGGCGACATACTGGCACTGCCCTGTATGAAGCCAACTCTGGGATGCATAATTTACAGTCCCCTGTGACCCTGTTTCCCCCCTCCCCCCTGGGTGTCTCATAAACCAGATGCTCCAATTGAGCACATTCACAGGCTGGGTGTCATCATTCATGTTCTCCAATTAAATATATTTGTGAGCAAAAGCTTTGGTGTTTTAGTTACAAACTTTTAAGGACGAGAGTTGGAATGTACTTTCACTTTCAAACTGCTGCACAGCTCTTCCAGATGTCCTCCCTTCCCCCTTTTTAATGGCAACTACTAAAACAGGCATAGGAATGTTTTATGAGTTGATAGTCTACTTATGTATCTAAATTCTAGAACGGGGGTATCAAATTCAAATTCAATTGAGGGCCACATCAGGGTTGTGTTTGACCCTGGGGGCTGAGGTGGGTGTGGCCAGCTTGATGTCACTTGTGTTGGGGACACCTGTGGTGGCCTGAGTGTTATGCCAGCAAAAACAGGCTCCTGTGCTCCATTTTCAGCTGTGATGGCCTCCTGCAGCCCTCTGCCAACGAAAATGGAGCTCGGGTGGGCCATGCATGCCCCCCCCCCGAGTCCCATTTTTGGTCACAACGGCCTCCTGCAGCCCTTTGCCAGTGAAAACGGAGCTCCATTTTTGCTGGCAGAGAGCTGCAGGAGGCTATCGCAGTCAAAAACAGAGGCTGGGAGGACCGCATGTGGCCCTCCTGAGCTCCGTTTTCACTGGCAGAGGCACTGTGGGCCGGTCCTTTTCTGTTTCCAGGGTCTAAGTACCCCATGGACCAGATCCGGCCCCCTCACCTTGAGTTTGACAACCCTGTTCTAGAACATTCTGAGAAAACACATGTCTGGTGAATGGTTTCTTTATAGAGAGAAACATCCAACCTTCTTATTTCTTAGTTGCTGCTCTGGGCTGATGGAATGATTTATTGCTATCAAATGATGCCTGGGTATTAGATTTTCTCCAAAAAGTTATGAGACTTATTGGCTGTAATGTTTTTGCAGTTAATTTCTGTGTGGGCTTTTTTTGGTTTTTCTTTTGGGATGCATAGTGACAGGGTGAGCAGTGTCTATTTGTATGTTTCTATTATCTTCAAACATGTTTCTCAAGCTGAGCAGTGATGAATATGAGATGAACAGATCTCTTTGATACCTTTACATTCCAAGGGGTGGATGCTAAGAAACGTATTGGATTCCTCCCCCCGCCCCATTCTGTTTTCCACTTTGGAAGAAACGGCACAAGAAATTCACAGAATCTTTGGATAATAAGCTGCCATATGTGGTGAGCAGATCATAATATAATTTAGGAGCATGTGCGTAAGCATTGCTAATTTTGCAGTTATATCAGCTCAGCTGTCTTAGATATTTAATTCCCAGCACAAGAAAATTAAATCATTTTCTGAAAAAAAGTGTTCTTAAAAATGCTCAGTCGCTTCAAGATGTTGTCTTCCTTCCCAGATGATACATTCCCCCTTTGGTGCATTGTTTGACAGGTTGGGACATAGGATTTTCTACTGTAAATTATTACCCATTAACCTCCCATAAATTCTAGTAAGAGTTAAGAAAATGCCTTTTACCAGGCATAATTTTTTTTTAAAAAAGTAATCAAATGGTGAAAAGATACCATATGATGGAATGTAGTCCGGAGTTGCAGAAGGGAGGTGCTCTTTCCCAGAAAGCAAAGAGATAGCAGAGTGTTTGGAATTTATGGTAGGCAGAAAGATCATTTTTTTTTTAAAAAAGGTAAAGGTTTCCCTTGCCCAATCATGTTCGACTCTAGGGCGTGGTATTCATTTCCGTTTCTTAGCTGAGGGGGCCATGATTATCTGAAAATACTTCAGTGGTTCATGTGACCAGCATGTGACCACCGAGGTACACAAATGCTGTTAATTTCCCATTGAAATGGTACCTATTTATCTACTTGCATTTGTATGCTTTCGAACTTGTAGGTTGGCAGGAGCTGGGGCAATGAACGGAAGCTCAACCCATCATGCAGTGCTTGGGTCTTGAACCTGGGCTATCAGGAAGGCAAAGGCAATTCCTCCCCCCCCAGCAATTCATAGAGTATATTTAATATGAAGGAAGAATAACATGTGGAGTTACCTTTGAGTAATTCTTTGTTGCTGTTCATCTATAGATAGAATTTTGCCAGACTTTGACCAATTGGTCTCACTAGCTGATGTAGTCAATCCATCTTGTTTTAGGTCTCTTTCATGGATGCTTTTTATCAAGTGGGATCCATTCTATGACTTCCTTGGCCCACTTGCCAATTCTTCTTACTAGGTGACCAATCCATTTCCATTTCAATTCTTTTACTCTCTTGATGATATCATATACTTTTGTTTGTTCTCCAGTCCAGGGGTCACCAACCTTATAGACCTCAGGGACCACCAAACTCATAATTTTAAGTCCCGTGGACCAGAGACCCTGGGAAAATGCCCAAAAAAGTCTGCAGGAAAATTCCCCACCCTGTTTTCCTACTGATCGATCATTCTTTATTGCAAGATACAGTTTCCAGCTCTGTTCTCGGGGGAGGGAGGGAGGGAGAGAGAGAGACAGAGACAGAGACAGACAGACAGACAGACAGACAGACAGACATCCTCTTTTGGCTTCATGCAAGGAAAGCAGCAAAAGCAGCAGAAGTCTTTCTTTCTCTCCCCCAAACTCTGCCAGAAATGAGTCTTTGTGAGACTTGTCGCGCCATCACAGCCTCTTGGAGAGGATGCCTTGCAGGGTCCCAAAGACTCATTTCTGGTTTGGGGGAGAGAAAGAAAGACTTTTGCTGCTTTCCTTGTGTGTAGCCAAAAGCAGAAGAAAAAAACGGAAATAAGCAGCTCTGTGTCTAGGCGAGGCGCATGGGCCGAGTGGGGCAAGTTCCTCCCCTCTGTCCTTTCCTCCCTCCCCTCACTACCTTGTGTTGTTCGCAATGCAAGCGATGCAAGCCTTGTGTTCCCATGGGCCACATGGGCGGCGCAGCCTTGTATTCCCGCGCAGCCTGGATTAATTGTTTTGGGAGGTGCTTTGGGGGTGACATTTCTCTGTGGACTACCAAAATTTCTTATGGACCACCAGTGGTCCCTGGCCCACTTGTTGGCAACCACTGCTCTCATCCATGTGCAAGTCTTTCTATCTTTTATTTTCTAACATTAAATTCTCCTGAGATAATTAGATATACTCTATGAATTGCTGGGGGAGGGAACTTTGCCCTCTTCCTGTCTACCAGAGATTCCAAGCTCTGCTGTCTATTTGCCCTCTGGGAATCAGCCCCTCTCTCCTATTTCTATGGAGATCCTGAGGCATCCAGATCATGGTTGTCCCAAAGGTGCTTTTTTCAAAAGGCAACTGGACTTTGTTTTTCCTTGAAGATATTTCGCTTGTCACTCAAAAAG